GCCAGCCCCATATACTGAGGGTGGTGGGTTCCAACCCGGCCCCAGCCAAACTGCAACAAAAAAATAGCTGGACCTTGGGGTGGGCACCTATAGTCCCAGCTACTCTGGAGGCTGAGGCAAGAGAATCACCTAAGCCCAGGAGTTGGAGGTTGTTGTGAGCTGTGACACCATAGCACTCTATTAAGGGTGATTAAAAAAGAAAAAAAAGGAAGAGACCAGAAAAGCTTTGTTGGTGAGGTGAGTGTTACACAGAATTTGAGGTAGAAAAAGATGTGTCTAGCGGTAAAGAGCATGATAGGGAATCCCATGTGCATTGTTTCAGAACTGGGCCAGGGTAAATCTGTAGAATCACAGGGCCTTAGTAAAGCTCATGAGAGCCTGTGTGTTCGTTATTCAGGCAGTTACAGAAGGTGCAGTTGGTGGTGGACGTTAAACTCTGTTAAACTCCGTGATTAGGAGCTTTAATGATCTCACAGGTAATTAAGCCCCACTGCTCAGCGCTGAGAAGTGGTGTTATCTGAGGTCAGCAGCAGAATTCTGAGTGCTCGCCTTGGCCTATTTCGAAGCTAAAGAACAGCAGAAGATTAAGGAGATTAAACAAAAATATAACCCTCAATCCTCTGTGTTTTGCCACTTCCTAAAATGACCTTTTAAAGTGTTTAGTGTCTGAATTCAGGTCACATCATCAGCACAACCAAGCAGAGAATAATGATTACTTTGCAGCCTCTGTTCATTATTGAAGACTGATGTATATTGTTAGTAAGTGTCGTTAAGCCATCATCACCAGGGTATACTGGGGAGAGCAGTAGGCTAGCATGTGACCATTTTTTGAGTTCTAACTGTAAGGTTGACTAGAAATTCAGGGAAAAAACAAAGGAATTAGGTTGCTGGCGACACAGCAAGTTTTCGGTGCATGTAGTCCAGGCATTTGCTTTTAGAGGGTTGTACATGCACAGTAGCAGGTGCTATTGGAACTGTGATGTGAACAGGGGACAAGCCTTATCCTCAGCTTATCAGTTAATGTGATGATGATAATGGTGATTGATGATGATAGGAACACACCTATCTCACGGATGAGAGATAGCAGAAAGGTACAGGGAAAGAAAAAATAACATCGTGTCTATGTAGTTTGATTCTCTGTTACTATATTATAAGCAGTAATGAAGGGTTGAGCTTTTTAATTTCTTAAACAGATATTTCATTTTCAGAATTCATGTGCTTCTTTTGATAAAAGTCAGTCAGAATGAAAAGTAGGATTTAGTATTCGCAACCTAAAGAATTAAGACGCCCCATCTTGAGAGGTATTGTAGAAGTGACGAATGGGTCCGGGAACACCACGGAAGGTGGCTATGGCTAGTTGATCCCGAGCAGCGCCACCGCCACCGCCACTGCCGCCGCGGAGAGAGACACAGTCCTGCTGACGTCGTCGCAGGGCGATAACGCTTCTTAAGGGATCATGCACTGTTCTCTGCCAAAATACAACTCCATTGCAAATAACTCACCTTCTCTTCTAGAGCAGAAACTTTGCAAATTGAGGAAAGGAAACTGCACGGGCGGCGCGTGCGGCCGAGACCCCCAGTCCCCCTTGTGCGCGTGTGCGGAGGGCTACGCCGTGAGCCCGGACGGCCTGGCCTGCGAAGGTAACGGGACGCCGCCCGCGGCCGGGCCAGCGCGGCGGGGCGGGTAGCCGGGCTGGGGGCCTCGCGGAGCCTCAGCGGGAAACCGGCTTCAAGTCCACCGGTTCCTTCCCCGCCCGCCCCAGCACTTTTATTTTCTAATTCTGTTTTTAAGGCCGTTAGGAAACTTTCTGGTCTTCATAGCTTGCGTCTCTAGATCATTCTCAGAGGCTGCTGGGGGATTGCTCTGAGGCTGAGATTCTCGGAATAACTAAATGGACCTCTGTGCATTTGTGTGCAAAGTATCAATATGCAAAAATGTTAAGGGAGTGTTTCCAGAACTATCGTAAGATTCCCAAAGAGTAGGCGACTCTGGATATCTCATCCCATAAAAGACTGGTAGGAAGCTTGGGAAACTGAACCAACCAGGCTGGTTACCTAGGGCTCTTCCTAGAGGTTTTAGTCCCCGTTGAATAAACCCAGGAGGAATACTGTGTCCTTTCCCCTGGGAGGTGCAGTGATTAGTGATGAAAAACTCCAATGGCTGCTGCACACAGGCGGTGGAATTAGTTGGGGTGAGATGTCAGCTAAATCTAGCATCTGCCTGTTAATTACAGCCCCGTGCGCGCGTGGGACCAGGGGGTGAAAGTCCTGGCGTAGGAACCGCGAGCTGGAAGGCTTTCACCAGAATACAGCTGCTGGAAATGTCCTCACACGTAGGGAAAAGGCTTTGGTCAGTCCCCAAGGGTGCAGAGCAGAAAAAGTCCTAAGCTTGTGCAGAGCTTTTAAGTCCTAACATAAACGACAGGTTATATCTCTTCAGGGGAGATAGTACCGCTTTCCCCCTAAGAGAAGTTCTTGTGTAAATACTCATATTCTAAAGTGTAAGCGATGGGGAAATAGAAATGGCTTTCATGATCACTGACCTGACTTCTTTTACCCTTGGCTAGAAGTGGAAAAAAACCGTTTGTCCCTGGTCAATTACAGCATATATTAGTGAAGATACCCTCCTTGGTGTTGACTTACTAGTGATATCACAATTTATTTTCAAAAATAACTGCCTGTGTTTTTCCTGTTGTCATTGTGCAGATGTCAACGAATGTGCCTTTTGGAATCATGGCTGTACTCTCGGGTGTGAAAACACCCCTGGATCCTACTATTGCACGTGCCCCGTAGGATTTGTTCTGCTTCCCGATGGGAAACGGTGTCATGGTACGTCGCAGGAGCAAGCAGTGATTGTATTGTCTTTCTTCACTTTTGGTAATGTTTCTAGGGTGGCTATGACCGAGGTTGGAGGTCCTCAATCAGCAATGTGCATCAGAATAACCTTGGAGATTTATTTTGTTTTTATTTATTTTGTTTGATTTATTTTTACAACATGGATGACTAGACTCTAGTCCAAACCTATTAAATCAAAACCTCCAGGACTGGAAAACATACCTATTTATTTTCCTGTTTCTTTATCTATATTATTATCCATATCATGTATTATATCTAATTATTATCTGTATTATATTTAGTATATTTCCAAAGGATGAGCATGTAAAAAACATAATCATATCTTAAAAATTAACTATAATTCCTTACTATCATTTAATATGCTGTCAGTGTTCAGGTATAACTACAATACCATTATCATACATTAAAAAATTATCAATAATTCCCTTATAATAACATCATATATCTATTCTAGATATATGATCTAACATCATATATCTAACAGGTATAACTACAATACCATTATCATACATTAAAAAATTATCAATAATTCCCTATATAATAACATCATATATCTATTCAGTTTTTATTTATTTATTTATTTTTTAGAGACAGTCTCACTTTGTCACCCTCAATAGAGTGCTATGACGTCACAGCTCACAGCAACCTCCACCTCTTGGGCTTAGGCAATTCTCTTGCCTCAGCCTCCCAAGTAGCTGGGACTACAGGTGCCTGCCACAACGCCCCACTATTTTTTTGTTGGAGTTTGGCCAGGGCTGGGTTTGAATCTGCCACCCTCAGTAGATGGGGCCAGCACCCTACTCACTGAACCACAGGTGCTGCCCAAATATCTATTAAGTTTTAAAATTTCTCCTATTATTCTAAAAATTTTTTCTAAATAGTTAATTTGGTAAAGTATCCAAACAACCTCCATGTGTTAACTTGATACATCTAGTTTTTATTCCATAGATTCCCTCTTTTTTTCCTCTTGAAAATATTTGTTGAAGAAACTATTTTTTGCCTGAAGAGTTTCTCACTTTCTGGATCGTGCTAATCATACCTCTCTAATGTCCCTGTCACTTTTGCAAACTCTCGGTTAGATCTAGAGGCTTAGTCAGATTCAGCTTTGACATTTTGGGCAAGAATCCTTCATAGATGTATTTGTACTTCCATCCAGAGTCACACAGTGTCTGGTTTCTCCTTTCTGTAATGTTAAGAATGGTCAGTGTGTTCATCCATTGTAAAGTTCTTCAGTATCCAAGTGGTGATAGCAGCTATTAACAAGCCATCATTTCATTGAGAATTTCAAAGGGTGATAGTCTAGTTCTAATATTTCTTTTTAATTATTAAGTGGCATGCCTTTATAAATAGAACTTTCTTTCATTAACTATTTAGTTACCTCAAGATATAATTCTTATCCTTAAGGCAAGATAATATTATTTGCCTTTTATTCTCTTTACTTTTATCTATCTATCTATCTATCTATCTATCTATCCATCCATCTATCTATCTATCACATCATCTCACCCTGTCACTCTGGGTAGAATGCCATGGTGTAATATCTCATGGAAACCTCAAACTCTTGGGCTCAAGGGATCCTCTTGCCTTAGCCTCCTGAGTAGCTGGGATTATAGGTGCCTGTCACAATACCTAGCTGATTTTTCTATTTTTTTTAGTAAAAACGGGGTTTCACTCTTGCTCAGGCTGATCTGGAACTCCTGAGCTCAAGCAACTCTCCTCCCTCCCTTGCCTCAGACCATGCCCAACCTATTTACTTATATTTAGAATAATGGGTTGGTACCTTCTAAAGGTGGTGAATGAGTGTTATTTTTTAATTAAGTGTTATAAGTTCATGAATTTTAATTTTTTTTAATGTTTCAGCCCATCACAATTGTTATCCTTACTGATGAGCAAATCATCTCTTCCTTGGCCAGTGGAAGTCTCTTCAAATAGGTGTCTGACCCCAGTAGTCTTTGATAGTTCCCTTGTTACTTGGTAGGAAATATTTTCCAGGCTCATCTTGTGCATTTCATATTCTATGGAGGGAACCAGCAATTTCTCAGGAAGCACTGGTTCCTTTTAATGAGAAAGTATATTTAGAAAACAGTCTGCTACTGAATTAGTCATTGTTTTTAGGCCTTTGGGGATATAAAAGCTAAGAATACATTTATTAAAAAGAAAATAAGTGAACCTTTGTTAGTTGACCACCCAAGGAACTATACAAAACTGGTCAACATACAGAGGTGCTCAATATAAGAAACTAGGTATGCTGTACTAGTATATACATGTGGTGCATGTTCAGTCTATGAAAATTAGGTCAACTTAAAGAGGTGGCCATTGTAGGGAGGTGGTCAGCTATGGAGATTCTACTATATATTATGAACTTGTATGTATATTCCCAGTTCAAATTTAGGATCACATATTCAGATACCTTCTGACAGATTTCTTATTGAATCTACAAGTGTGGGTAAATACAAATGAATGTTTAAAATCATGTATGTTACCTAGTCCTGCTTTAAAGATGATGGAAAATAGGATGG